AATCACACGCTGTTGTTTGGCGCGTAAAGCCTGGAGTGTTTAAATAAAGACACGTTTACCACTTCAGTCCCAGGCGAGTTTCCCACGGCTCTTCACGCTCTACATGTTTGGTAAACTGCCTTAAATGGAGGATGTTTTCAAGTGAGAGCGGGGTATTTTTGAACGTTCTATCATCCAAAGCGAGAGCATCATCTGCTGCTTAATAAAGAACATGCACACAAATACAACTCTGTTTTTACCCGAATTGCCCGAAACAAAATAAAAAGTGAAGGCATCCAGTCAAACAGATGTGTGTTTAATAAAAGAGAGTGTGCATCAGCCTCATACTTCAAAGCTGCACAGATAGCATCACAGTGAGCTCTGTGCAAAGGCCATATTATCCTAATGCTGAAGAGGGTAAACATGTTACACGCCTTGCTCTGCCTGAGTATGAAACACCAAAAGGTGAAAGACTCACTAACAGCTCCAAATTCTGGGAGGAAATAAATCAAGTTTTACATTGGATCAAAATGAGTTCATGGACCAGATTCAGGAAAACCTTTTAGATCATGACACTGTACATCATTTCGCCTTTTTTAAAGTGTAACAGTGGCAGCTGTCACTAAACATGCAGCTGTTTATAATGGGCTGTCTGAGCAGTGTCATACATTATAGCCCATACAAACATGAATAATCACTGAGTTAAACCTCAGCAGAAACAAGAAACGTGAAAATGACATGACTTGAGAGAAGAAGGAACCATTATGAAGTTAAACATTGTCTCAAACTACCAAAAGCAAAGCAGCTACACTGGGTTTTCCAGGTAAAGTAAACTTATCTGAGTCATAGTTACTACAGAAAAAAGCATTTAGTAAATAATAGGGGACACACATTTAATAATTAATTAACAATATGTCCAACAAATCCATAAATAATCATTGTTAATAGACATGTGAATTAATAAAACTCTAGTCATTGCAGTTATGTTTTTAAATTTCTTTAAACTTAGAGTGACCTTTTACTAAAGAATGAAGTTTAATTGATTTATACTATTGTTTACTGACTCAAGTTTCTGTCTGTTTTTAATTTGTGCTCTGAAAAACTGAGGCTCACTGACTTTTAAACATTTACATACTATTAACTGACTGACATCATGATGTGTGCCTACCATTTCTGACAGCATTCATCTATAATAGAAGATTCCACAAGGGGGAGAAATGGTTTAGGGGGTGTGGGGTGAAGTGACAGTTTAATATGTACTATAGTGAACTTTGTATTGTTTTCTCAGTGGTAGGAAATAAAAGACTTTCATGTGGAAGGCCGGTTAAGCCCGGTGTGGAGATGAGACACAGCAGCAGGGTGTCACAAAGAATCCCTCTGGAGTCCACATACCAGTGGCTCTCATATCTTCCCATTGCTCTGCTTTCAATCTCGTACAAACATACGAGTCGTACTTGCACTTGCTACAGCAGTGTAAGCCAAAATCTAAAGTTCACAGATGGTGCACCTGCTCTAATACAGAGAACTGCCCTGAACAATTGTCAAGGTTTTTTGAAGTAAATCAATATATGCAGCTCATAACCTTCGTATGAGATCTTAGTAAACTGAGGCTGCTAATACAGATGAGTCCAAATTCACTGTCTTTTTTTTGTTTTGTTAGCAAAACCTTTTCAAAATTAGATGTCACGTATGAATATTTTTCAAAATTGAAAGCAAAAGCTGAAGCAGAACATTTTACTTCTGTTTTGTTTTTGTGTCTGTGATGAAGAAATCCCCCGGACCACATGTGGTTAGACAGTCATGAGTTTATATGAATTCCTTATCACAGAGATCACAGTTCCCCAAGAGGAAAGCATGGAAAGAGGGTGTGTGGACATCTTTGCTCAGGCACTGTCAATCATCTTGTTGTGGTTTTGGGGTGCAGACTTATGCATTCTGTTTATGCTGAGAGAAATAATAAAAACAATAGCAAAATAAGCCTGTCCTACTCTGTTCAAAATGGGGGATCTGTAGCCTTAGGGGTATTATTTTGTGCAAAGTTGGGGGACCATTCACTTAATTGGAAAAGCTGCAGAATTGTGAGTGAAAAAAATATCTTATTCTGTGCTGTTTTGAGTTTTTATCGCTGCTGTGCTCAAACTGAAAAAGAGAGAGAAAGTTGACATTTGGTGAGTTTTCTATTATGAATGTGGGCAGGTGGGCTTTACCTCACACCGGTCCCCTGTGTCATACCTTTGACATTGGGCTGTAATTCACAGTGCCCTGTTAGTAGAAATGCTGACCAGGGGTGAGACAATCCACCCTGATACATGTGGTGGACTGTGGTGTTAGTGGCAAGGGTTGAGAGTGGAGACTTTTTCTCTCTTTCATGTAGGTTATTTGTGTGAAGTGGTCAAGCGGAAGCAGCACAAAGGCCTTTTGTTGGGCCACTAAACAACAGCAGTCATTCAATATTAAACAGCAGGTCGTTTTCTTTACTGCAGAAGAAACTGTAGTGGCATAACAACAAAGTCCCATGTTGGAGGATGGACTGTAAGGCTGTAACAGATTTGCTCAAAAGATTAGTTGATTAAGTGATTTGATGATCAAAAGAAAATAAAGCACCTACTATTTTCAATTCAATTTCATTCATCAGCTGTTTAGTAATTTTGTGTTGTAGCTTCATAAAGTCAGGGGACTTGGATGAAACAAAAAATGATCATAATAAAAGCAGCAGAGACCAAGATTCTCACTTTTCTCACAGTCGGAAAACACTACGTGATCTGGTAGAATCTTCTATTAGACCCCCTTCCTCCCTGGCAAATACCCACAGCCTTCAAACATCTCACATCTAGTTTTAAAATTATGAAATCTCAAACTCAGTCCAAGATAATCCAGAATTATTTTCTCAGGGAGCTTCCTCCAAGGACCCAGAAGACATCACACTGCTATTTTTATAGATCTTTACCTGTAAAATTGGTAGTCTTCCCCTTTAAAGAAAGTTACATATTCTCAATTTTCATCCTCTCAGAAGTCAGGGTTTGCGGGTTTCCTTTGTTTTCTTTCATATTGACATACTGTCACCATAAAATTCACTTGTTCCAAAGCCGTAAGCTGTATCACATGACTTTTCTCTGCAGATGGAGTTTTGACCACTTCCCAGGCAATGCAGACGCTCATATGCCCTTTATTTTGGCGTTAAAATTGAGACTGACTGGTAAATATAATTTTGTCTTGAACAACTGATGAATAAAAACAAATGCAACAGCCATTTTCACTATTTTCACCCCTTTTGACATTTTAAATATTAAGTGATTAATTAATAATAACAACAAATGGTGGCCTGATAAATACATGAACGCCATGTCAGTTAATTCCCAAATAACAAATACAGTCTTTGATTCATGACAGCAGATTTTATTTTTTTTTTTTTTTTGTGCTGTCTTGACAGCCCTAGAGAAAACAACATCTGAAGCAACCTCAAACTGTGATCACTGTGTCGGGTAATTCAGTGTTCTGCAAACCATAAGAGAATCGATTGTTCATGGGCACAGACACCGTGGTAATAACAAGCTACAGAGTCCGACAGAGTAAAAAAAGTAAAAAAAAGAGAACAACCTCTTTTATGTGACGGTGGAGAAAAGCCAAGTGAAAATAGCAAGAAATGTGAGCAACAGGAAAGGACTTGTCATTGTGACCCTGTTTGCATGGCAGCAATTAAACTGCAGAGGAGATTGTAGTGCTTAGCTCCTTCTCTGCCTTTTTTTGGTTGTGATTATAAAGCCAGAAGAGAAAAGACAAGAACCACAAGGAATCTTTCCTCAGGTTCTCAACCACTTACTGTAAAACTTTGTGACAGACTTGGCCTCCAGAATTGTTTGCCTGATCAAATAACTAAGTCGAAGAGCAGTAAACGCTTCCATGGTTCTAGACTGGGATGTCCGTACAAGGAGTGGTTTGTTGTAATGCAGCATCATAAAAATTGGAGATCCACAGTGTCTGGAAAGTATGTGGGATCTTTGAGAGAGGCAACTGCAATTTTAGACTGGCTGGGACCAGTACTGAACTGGGTGTACCTCTTCTAAACTGATGGGAGATACCAAGAGTTGGCAGAACACAAAAGGAAACAGTGCAGTGTAATAGCTTACTGCTAA